CAAAGCAAGGTGTGCTGCAGTAGGCTTCTTTAAACAAAGGTTATTTTCACTTGCTCTGTACACATGTGAAATCTCCGTGTTGCTTCACGTGTTAAGCCTGGTCCATAACCAGCTCACAGTACTGGGGGGGCCACTGAATGTCCATTCATCAACTGAGGTCACTCCTGGATGACGTGCCTCAGGTATTTGGCCTTCTCCACTTTCAGAAGCTTCCAGCACCAGACAAATAATGTCCAAAGTACAGCTTTGGGTAGAGTTATTAAAGCTCTCGTTGTAAGCATTCGATCCTTGCTTAAGTAGCAATAAGCTGTAGCTCCATCGTTCAGCTGGTGTGTTTACATCTAAAACCACAAGGAAATAAATCGGCATTGCTTTTTTGTTTACACGAAAAAATCTTTACCCTCACCTACTAAAGTCAGACTTGGTGATTTTTGTAGCAATTAAAACAATCGATGGGCTGGAAAATAAAGAGACCGATCACGCTCGCAACAGGTAATCTAATAGAGAGGCGTGATTTCCATGCCCCACTTTTATTTTGCGCATACTACCCACAATGCCCGTTGCGGTTGAGCCGGACGCTCAGAACTTCTGTATCCCTGTAAACATACATGCATATTTTTTCAAGTTTATGTAGTGCTGTGCAGGCAAATAGCCCAGTTTTAATGGCTGACGTTAAACGCTCCTGTAGTTGGAAAAGTCCCATTGTAAGAACCAAACCAAGAACATTGAAGGGTGCTGTTCACCTTCTACCTCGACTGGATTTTAAACGTGACGCGAAACTCGATCGCTCTGTGGTCAGCCGGGAGCACTCCGTGAGCAGCTACTGCTGTGATATGATGTCCTCTGGACTCGTCGCAGAGCTGCACTCGTGTTGCACTTGAAAAGAACTCACAAAGCTGCCTCGCCTCAAACCCATCTGCAATCAAAGCCGCCCCCACTTCCACTTAACACATGCGGCATCAAGTTGGTTTTACTAAAAGTCAGAGCTGAAAATTTATAATACGTTCATCCAAAACGCAAAATGGGACATTAGCGGTCTAGCAAGGCAGACCTGAAGATACCCGTAAACAGCCAAATGGAGGACCCTAGAACCAGCCCCGGCGATCCAAGATGGCGCCCTAGTTCAAATGAATGGTTGGGCTCAGTGCGCTTGTGTGACGGCATAGGGGGGCTGCTGAAAAGACTAGCGGAGAAGTCGCCTGGCACTCAGCCACAGATCTATGGGAAAACTGCCTGTATTTGGGCATTGTCTGGTCCTCCCGGTTCTGTGCAGTGGATGATCTCCCATAATGCGTTGCGTTCAAACACGTGTGTGTGGGCTCTCACACCGGGTCTCACGCACGTGCACAGAGGGGCTTCGGCCGCGCTCTGACCAATCAAGCAGTTCATCAGAGCGGGAGTTAAAGCGAGAGACAGACGAGCAGAGTTTGTGGCAGTAAAGTGTGGATTTAAACAAAACCGCAGGATTTAAGAAGAAAAAAAAGGTTCAGGATGACAAGGGACACTAAAATCCCCACAAAATCTGATCTTTATTAAAGCTGTAGGTTCTCTGTCAGCTGAGGTCGCGCTGTTTTAATTATGCATTGAGTTCTATGGGGAAAAATTTCTGGGTAGCCCACGTGAATTTAGTCTGGTTCAGTCTGCAGTACCGCAAGAATCCCCTGAGCACATGAGTTATTCAGCTACAAGCTAGTAATACCCTATCCCAGTTTATTATAATTAGATCCATGGGACTAAACCAGGGACCTAAACCAGGACTGACAATGGGGGACAACAATTGATAAGATAAGGGATAGATAAACCTTTAGTAGTGCTTTGTGAACATTTGCCTCCTCCGGAGTTCTCATGTCTCCGGGACTGTAAACCCCGGCTGCTAACGTAGTTGGTTATGCTGAAGAACCGGTTTTAATCAATCAAAAAAAACTTATGGCACAGCTCGGTGAACGCAAACTGCGGTTATATTGAAGACTCTGAAGGCCTCAGAACACAGAGGACACTGCAGCTGCATTCTTGGAGGAAGAACGTTACACCAAAAAGCCACTAGCCGTAAACTACGTTAGCATCAAACCAAACTTCCGCCACGTAAGCCGTGCACAAAAGCATGGCAGTAGTACTTCATTCCCTGCTGAACTTTAGTGCGCGAGTGGAAGCTGTGTTCAAGCGGCGGCTTTCGGCACATCCCTATACAGAGTTGTTTTGGCAGCTGTGGCGCTTGGGCCTAAACACACCTGTGCGTTCTAAAGCCGAACTCCAAAGACCAAACACTCGTGTGCGTCTGCCGCCCTTCGCCCATGAACAAGACATCTCAACTTTTAACAGGGGGGGGGAAGACAAACTATTTTTCTTCCTTCTCATAAACACCTGGGTTATAGTCGGCCATAGTTTATAAATAAAAGTTCATGCATTTTTCAGTAGGCTGGCACTGATAGGAGGCAGCTGCTGTAAAATAAAACGTTTAGTGCTTTTCAGATTAAAACTCTTGGAAAGCGCTGTCTCACATAATATCCTGCTTGTCAGAGAGTTTGTTTATCAATCCTTTATTTCTTAGCCTGACTGGTGACGACGTCATGTGACAACTGTTACCCGGTTCTCGGAACACTGCAGAGGGCCAGGGGTTTCTGGACGCGGGGGTGCTCGGCAGTCCAGCGGCTGAGCGAGGAGAAGGTTGCAGGTTTGATTCCCTGCCTGTCTGTGAGTGTGGTTGTTTGCATTTCCTCCTCTTGATCATTCATTGTGGCTTAGCTCTGTTCTCATTTATTTGTCACATAGTTCTCACACAGGGCAAGAGCAAACATTTAATATTTTACTACCCAAAGGAGTCATTTTTTACGGCTTTTATTTGGTAATTGCTCAGTATAAGTAACTTTTTGGGGGGCCCCTTCCTAAATGTGTCCACTTTTTTTGCTTCCATTGACATAGGTATATTTCTCTGCCATTCTATTTATGGAAATTACTGCTTAATTTTAATTAATTTCACTCAAAACATTATCTTGGGATAATTGAAAAATAGCCATATTTGGTTGTTTTTTCCTTTAAAAACAGTTAACTCCCCTCTTTTCAATGGATACTGGTCTTTTTTCCTGGACTGATCCTGGACTAGATTTCGTTTCTGGATCGTCAGGACTATCCTGGTTCAGTTTTAGAAGCGGTGGTCGATAGTAGTCAGTTGATAGGTGGATTGGTGGTTTTGACCCCGAGTTTCACTGCTTCACTGAAGCCTGCTGTCATTGTGTCCCTGAGCAACACATTAACTCCACTTTGCCTGAAACCCCTCGTTAAAAGACCAAGTGTCTTTGATAACGGTGCCAAATTACTAACAACGGGAATGAAAATGACACAATAACAAGATTGAGTGTGGTTACCGTAGTGCTAGCATTTAGTTATAGCATTTAGCTTTAAACGGAATAGTTTTTTGTTGTTGATTGATGCTGTATTTAGTTATATAAGAAGCTTTATTTGGGCACTTTCTCAGAATTTCATTGGTTTGAAATCGGAGCAGTCAAAATGGGACGGCTCTGGGATGTGATAGTTTCAAATTGTGGGAGTCCTATGAGAGCTAAGGACACAGGTGGCCTGTGTTCTTGGTTTGGGAGAAAAAAATGGTCCCTCTTCATGATGCTGTATTCATTTGAATAGACTTGTTCAATAACAAATCATAGGGTGGGACTTATCAGAGCTGATACAATATGATTTTATGATCCAATACATAATATTGCATCGTTATACAAAACAAAATACACTATTGGTTTATCTCACATTGATAAATTATAGCTAAATTAAAATGTATCCTTTGGAGATTGCGAGCTTGACCAGACTCACCATTTAAAATAAGGTAGTTCTTTTCTGATTAAGAATTTGACACATCTATTTTGTGGTTATTTGTAACAAGTCAGGACTTGGTTGGACGACACAGGGTTGTATCTGCAGTGATCACAAAGTAAAAATGAAACTTAGCTGCTAATATGTAAGATTCGTCGGAGGCGGGGTTAGCATGCTGCTAAAATAAACAAATTGAACTGCATCTGAAGTTTCTGTATGTTCTTTAGTAAAGGTTTTCTCATCTGTAAACTGTAGAAACTAACTAAGTTAAACTGATATGTTTGTGTATTTATATCCTTACAGTGCTGAATGCTGCTGATCAGCTCATCACTCTCACCACCATAGAAAACGAGAAAGCATCCATCCCAACCTTGGTTATGCAGCCTGTTCTTAGAAATGCCAATGATACACCTCCTCATGCACAATTACACTCCCCTGGACCATCCTCGTCAAGAACACAGAACTCCTGGATCAGTCAGTTTGTGATTCCCTGGGACAAGATGCCTGCATCACTTTTGCAGGCAACATTAAGAAGGCAGAGAGCGAAACCTGAAGACCGCAGAGTTTGGAAAAGAACTGTGGTGAGTGCCATGCAGGAATATTGTCCAAATCCCAACAAAACGGCTTGTGACGAGATTGCCAAAATGATCGTGTCTAAATACCCCTGGACCTTCGCAGACACAAATGAGGACGGTGAACAGTTAGGAGTAGGTTATTTTTCTCTTGCCAAGCAGCTGAAGACGAGAATTGAACATGTGAATCGAAATAATACAAGCAATAAAATACGAAGACCAAGAATGATGGAGACCACTGATGAGAGAACCAGGACCACCACTACAGTACGTTGTAAAGTAGACAGCTACGGCTGTATTAATTGGCAACCAAAATGTCTCCCGGAAGGAGAGACTTCTAGCTCCTTGGAAGATAGAAGGAAAGACATGTTGGCCGTATTCCAGTCTGTTGGACCCCGAGCTGGAGACAGGCCTGATATTGACGAGTCCATGAGACTGACCTACATCTATCAGCGTCACATGCTAAACTCTTGTCCTCCTCCTAGTATTGAGGTGACTGAAGAGCATTGGCCTTTCCTATTTACAAAAAGAGGACTCTGTGACCATTTTAAAACCCTCACAGGTATTGACATCTGTGATAGAATAGGAGAGGCTCTCCAATCTAAGGGAATGAGGATCAAAAACTTCTTCCAAAGACGGAGTCAGAATAGGGACATCCAGCGTCTTCTGCGAGACATTGAGAGCAACGGAACAGCCATGCAGCAGAGCCAGACTGGCATCGCAACAGTTCTCATCCTTCTGATGCACTTTCTGGAAAAAGAGGACTCCATCTTTCTTTTGGCAGATGTAAGTAGGCGCATTTTATCTAGTGAAGTGAAATGACATGCATGTAATCAAATGTTTCATTTACTGTAGTCTTTGGCTCTAGTCACCAGTCCTTTCCTCTGAGGTTGTATTTTAAAATGATTGAAATCCCTTTTTGTGTGTGTGTGTTTTTAAGATAAATGCGACAAAGCTGTCAGTTGAAGCAGAGATGACCCTTCCAGCCACGCCAAGACTGATACTGCTTGGTAAGATGAGACTTCCCCTTGATTTTAGAAGAATTTTTAAAGTATGACTATGTGCAATGTGTGTTTTTTGTCTTCAGGGAACACATTTCTCTCAGCCATGAAATGGATGGTGAGCTTTGAGGGAAGAGTTGCCTACATCTTAGAAGAGCATCTGGGCTTTGCAGATGCGTTGTCAGTATTCTTCGGATGCTTCTATGTTTTTAACATAGAGTACCAGGAGCCTGCATGTGCAACCCTTGAGCTCATTCAACGGCAAGTGTTTTTATCACACATCTCTGGCAAAATATTAAAGGAATAGGCCACCGTTTTTACATACTAAGATATGTTCTTACCTTAGCTTTGACAAGTTCATTTGTACCTGTCTGGTCTTCACGTGTGCCTTCAGTCACGTAAACACAGCACAGTATAGGGTTAGGGTTAGGGTTAGTAACTAAGTATTATAGTAATATAATAATAATATTCTATAATAATATTCTAGTAATATAGTAACTAATATTGTAAGGCGTAATAACACCAGGAGAAATATTCGGCATCCGCGCAGTGATGTCTTCACTTTACTGTGCAGATGTCGAATTACTCCTGGTATTATTACGCCTTACAATATAGTTCCCCTTTTTATCCACTTAGAAAAGCCACATTGTTTAATTTTGTGTAATTATACTTTATAGTGTAACACTTTACGTAACCATATTTAAATAGGGAAACCGTGGAAGAGTTTGGGAGCTTCTATCTTCACCTCGTTTGGAGCTATAGAGGAGAAGAGAGAGGCTAAATGCTAAGCTGTCTGTGCTGTGTTTACGTTACGGAAGGCACACGTGAAGACCAGACAGGTACAAATGAACTCGTCTAAACTAAGGTAAGAACATATCTCAGTATGTAAAAACGGTGGCCTATTCCTTTAAATTTTCACAGTCTCAATACTGTTACAAGCCATGTAGATGTAATGTATATTGATGAATAGGATTTATTTTTATTTTTCATAAAGATTCTTTGTCAGGATAAATCCAGAGGAGGGAACGAAGTGCTCTGCAAAAATCGGCACAAGTCGTAAGACTGGAGCAGAGGTGAAGAGGAAGGTGGAGACTGTCAACAGCAGGGTGTCTTCCTTCCTGTGCCAGCTGACTGAATTTGAATGGAAGAACTTGGATTAGGTGAGATTTTTTTGTCTGACCAGAAAACTCTCCCTCCAACACCAAAGGGAGTTTTATAGGGCATTTGATGCAATTGTAGGCCACATTGTTTTTCGACTGGGTGAAGGTTGTATCTATTCAGACTTCAGTTTTAAATTATGTTCTAATTTGGAGGTTATATTGTTTTTCAACTGGGTTTCAGTGAATGTTGGATCTATTCAGAGTTTTAATTTATGTTCTAATTTCGTTCACAGATTCGTGGTGGGAGAATGTCACTTGGCAGAGCACCGATCCACCCTGAAATGTACATTTGTGGTTCTATGTTGAATTTCTAAAGCGCTCATTTGGTTGTAAAAAGGTACACACAATAAACGTGTATCTTTTTCATTTTTAAGAGTGTCCTGGGTGCATTTTTTTAAAAATTTGAAAAAATGATATTACAGCAGTGTACTGGTCATTTACAGTAAAAAACCACATTCCAGCTTTACAGTAACTCTTTACTACTGTAAATATGAAATACAGTTCTGCTACTGTAATCTAGAATTACAGTAACTTACTGGCATCAGTGTTGCCAGTAAGTTACTGTAGAAAACACTGGAAAGGGTCTAACAGTGTAGATTTGTTGTTGCAAAAACACTTGTCTATTTAGCCATTATGGTCCCAGCACCTCAACCCCTAGTAAGAGGCAGTGGAAGAAGAGTATAGACTATGGGGAATCATTTAATGCATATTTGTGGAGAAAGATATATATTCCTGATTATGTTTAAGCCAGCAGAGAAGACCTTGTTAGTGTTCAGGGTCCGGCACTGGTGGTGGTTAAAAATAACCTGTGATTAGCGTGATCCTTGAGGAGGCTGTAAAACTCCTCACCACACACTTCATACACTTTTCTAACCTCCTGAACTGCCAAAAGTGCGATCGCAGGTCTGAGCACTTTTGCAGCTGTCAAAAGCTGTTTGTACACTGTAAAATACAGCCGCAGAAGTCATCAGGCTGAAGGGCAGGAGCAGGGCCGAGGGCTACGAGAAGACTAGAGAGACCAGAGAGAGAGACTACAAAGAGACCAGAGAGATTTGATGTTGTTTTGTTGGGACGGTGCATATTAATGAGCAGACCTGTATTGTCCCACAGTGTTGGTCAAACTCACAAACGAGCCTTTTCAGTCCTGGATCTACAGCCTCCATCCTGGATCATTATCCTCAGTCCTAAATCTAAAGCCTGTCCATCTGTCAGAGCGGATCCCTGTTTTCTCACTATATTCCCCGTGGGTTTTTAAGTGGTTAGCTCAAGCAGGATCTAAGGACAGTGATGTTCTGAGACAATTATGGACATTTATGGATTGTGGTCATCCCGCTCCCTACGGACTAATGACAATTCGTGGGACGAATAAAGGAAAACTTATCTTATCAATTTCCTGTTTTTGATTCTCTGATATGTCATTGAGGAATCCACATCCATCTTCCAAGAGTCTTCCGAGACTCTACAGAGTTGACTTAAATAAACAATAGACATGGGGAGAACATGCAAACTCCACACAAAAGGTCTACTTTCACTTTTGTCTGAGAAGGAAAATAAACGGACAGGACTGGTCAGTTTTTGGAACAAATGTAGACGGCGCTAAATACAACTCCATCTCGGAATGATGAAATGTCTGCTTTAAAACGACACTGACACGTTCGTATGTGTTTGCTGTTGTTCAGACTGGTGTCCATAGCAACAGGACACTAGTTATTCAGTTATAAATGTTCAACCAGCGAAATAAGATATAGATGCACAGTTGCAGACGTACTCTCACAGCTGGAAGTCATGTTTCTGAGCTTTGGTACATTCATCATTCTCCTCAGCCCTCTGGCATCTGCATGCAGGAGGTTCACCTTGGGTCCTCCGGTGTGATGTCACAGTTACAGATGTCATTGTTACGGATGTCATCTGTCAGTTCTTGCTTCTGTGACTATGCAAAAGTATCACACTGAAAACATAAATAGAACAAAAAAATCATAATAAAAAAACAACATCAGACTGGAAAAAACGATGTGTGTGTAACCCACGTCACAAACGCACCCACTTCCGGTTTTACTTTGTCAAACTTCCTTTAAAAACATGCATCAGCGCCAGCTTCACCCCTGCTCCTCCGGCCGGTCTCACTGCCTGTTTAAGTGATAGATCATTGATACCTTTGATTGTACCACATCACCAGCACAGACCCACCGGATCCACTCATCGATAGTCACTGTCACACCCGCTCAACGGTCAGGGTTTTTTATATGCATTGACTCTGATCCCCCACTGGATGGGGCGGCACGGTGGCTGAGTGGATAGCACTCTCGCCTCTCAGCAAGAAGGTCCTGGGTTCGAATCCCGGTCGGACCAGGGCCTTTCTGAGTGGAGTTTGCATGTTCTCCCCGTGTCTGCGTAGGTTTCCTCCGGGTACTCCGGTTTCCCCTACCACTAAAAATATGTCCAATAGTTCTGGCATGCGCTTCCTGTACTGGCGACCCCGCTCCCATCTCTGTGTGGAGTGAGAGACAAATGCCCAAAATTAACAATTGTAAACCGCTTTGAGACTCAGATATGCAGTGAAAAGGCGGTATATAAATAAAAACTTACTTACTTACTTACTGGATGGCGAGCTAACCCACAAACTACTAGACCCATACCTGCACCTATAACCACCCTACCCCCGCATCATCGTGGTAGGAACAAACCTTTCCATTTCAACACTACCCTGTGGATTACAATACTTACCTTACCCTGTGGATTGTATGTGCAAGATGGCGGACGCATTTGTTTGGAGCCTTTTTTGAACTGCACACTTTTAGGATTTATTTTTTAAACTAAGCTTTTATTACTGTTTTTATTCGTAACAACTGATGGATTAAGCGGATTTTAACAGGTTGTGCCACAACAGGATTACTGTCACTTTTAACTGGACTGTATATCAGCCTTTTAACAGTTACCGCGGTAACCAGCCTGCCCACATACGCCACCATGTAATGGAGCGCAGACACCCCCCCGCGGGCGAAGCAGCGTCCACGGGAGGACTCTGTGCCGTGATGTAGCGCAGAGACCCCCCCGCGGCCACCTCAGCGTAGGACCTGCTCTGTGCGGCGCCTCTGGGGTTCCCTCCGCGTCAGACCACACGGACCCTCCCACAGCAGGGACAGTGCTCCCGGAGGTATGAGTTCTGCTCCCCCCGAGAACTCATACAAACAGATATACAAATCACAACTTGCTTCAATTCTTCCATCCAAACCAGTAAACGCAATGACTCCCGAGGAACTTCAATGCCGTGTTACACAACTATCCACAGAACTCATACATAAAGAGAAACTTCTGGAACATTTCATGGACATCTCGTTCAAGCAGTCACAGCAAATATCCCTCTCCGTACTCAGACACTCACAGCTCGCTACCACACTCCACGACACTGCTCTTTGGGATCCAATCACCTGTCCTCACCCCTCATCATGCTCTACCCCGGTCCTCACCTCACGTTCCCCGGTTGCGGCTGTTCCTCCTGTCCCTCCTCTACGGTCCCGGAGCCTCCTGCCCATACCCAGAGCGGCACGGAGCAGAAGCCTGGAGACCACAGAACGTCCACAGTGTCCTCACGTCGCAGGTTGGTGGAAGAGGCTGTGCGCAGACGCTCGGGGAGCTTCCCACGCTCTAAAACAGTGCAGGGCTCCCCGGGTGTCACGCAGGACCAACTGTGGGAAGGATCTCTGTGCCCTAACGTGGCGCAGGATACCTCCGGGAGCACTGTCCCTGCTGTGGGAGGGTCCGTGTGCTCTGACGCGGAGGGAATCCCCAGAGGCGCCGCACAGAGCAGGTCCTACGCTGAGGTGGCCGCGGGGGGGTCTCTGCGCTACATCACGGCACAGAGTCCTCCCGTGGACGCTGCTTCGCCCGCGGGGGGGTGTCTGCGCTCCATTACAGCGCAGACTCTTCCCGTGGACGCTGCCTCACTCGCGGGGGGGTCTCTGCGCTGTTGCACGGCGAGGAGTCCCTCGCAGATTCCACCTCGCCTCCTGGTGGATCCCCCCGCCCGGTGCGCGGCCCTCCCACATTCGCCCACACTACCACCACCACCAACCCGGCCACAGTGGAGTCAGTTCGGTCTCCGGATCCTCCACCCTGCTCCACTGCCGCTCGTGGCGGCTCCGCTCCGGGCACCCCCCAAGGCTCTCCTGTCCCCTGCTCTCCACCAGGTCCCACCCCAGTCACACCCTCCCCTCCGCGGCCTCTGTTTGCACCAACCACGCTCCTGGTGGGGGATTCTATTATCAGACACTGCAAGTTTTTTAATGCCATCACACACTGTTTTTCTGGAGCCACAGTCCCCACCATCCTCATTAAACTACCCGCACTTATTCAGACAGCACCGTCCACAATAACCCGGATCATAATTCATGTCGGCACAAATGACGCTTCACTCCGCCAATCCGAGACCACAAAACGCCATTTTAAGGATCTTTTTAACCCTTTAAGCGCCAAAGTCGCAATATTGCGACAAGCAACATTGCTCACTTAAACAGGCTGTATTTAAAAATGTGGTGCAGAATCTTGTTAATACTTTTCACCAGGGGTTAGTGGACATGTGTGCCTGTAATATGAGCAACATTTGTGGGTGTGGTTATATTGAAAGTTTTTGAGTAAATTGAGTTCGTAAATCACCTGCGGCGCAGCGGCGCGGAGGCGTAGCAGCAGCGGTAGAGCTGAGAGGAGCGAGAGCAGAGCAGAGGGAAAGAGGGTTTTTTAATTTACTCACGAGGTCTTCAGTACCAGAGAAGTACTTGGTCTGGTACTGGCTCACTCAGAATCAGAGGAGGAAGACACACAGGTGTCCAGTGAAGCAGACACGGACATTATTGGTGACGGGGAGACAGCGCTCCATAGTCCACAATCAGCCCCTGTGCAGCGGCTGCTTGTCCTCCGTGTGGCCGCGGTAGAAGCATTCTGTGAACGCCAAGCAGGGGCCGTGGTGGAGGGGACAGGGGCATCATAACACCAGGCATGTGGGAGAAAGTAGTGGGGGCAGACATCCACGGGGAACACGGGAGACGCGGGAGAAGTCGCAGGAGAGCCGCGGGAAAAAAACACATCGCTAATCACGTTCACTGCCTTTACCAGCAGCGATGATGAGGATGAAGACAGTTCTTGAGAGAAAATAATCCACAAAAGTGGATCAGAAGTGTTGAAGAGCCTGTTGTATGTTGTTGAGACGATCTGACAAGTTCTGAGCCCATTCATTTCATCTCTCTGTTTCTAAACGGTAAATCCTGGAGCCTCATTTCCACTGAG